AAGATAAATTATGCCTCGATTTTATTATTCCAAAAAAACAACCATAGACTAAAAATTAGAAAAAATAAATATGAAGGGCGTTGTTGTTTTTTTATACATCAGTCTTATTTTTGTAAAATTGAAAAGTATTATTTTTAAAATTAGAAAACGGTGAAGTAGAATTACAATTCGTGTAATATAAATAAAATTTTCTGGTAACATTACATTGCACTGTGTAATTTTACAATGAAAATTGTAAAAATAAAAAAAAGCTTTTTAAATTTTTTATGAGATTATTGTAATATAAATTACAATATTTTTTTTATGATTTTACATACAATTATGCCGAATCAAATTACAAATAATGTTTGCAAAATTAAAAAGCTTTTTCTTGAAAATTGACGAACAGTTCTGTAATATTACAATGCGTGTTAGGTTTATACAAGAAGATTGTAAAATTACAATACATCTTAGTAGATTTCCTGACAGGTGTTGTATATATGATTGTAATTTTACAAAAATTTTTAACAGTGTAGTTATCAAATTATCTGGACTAGTATAATTATAATTGAAACTATAATAAAAATTTATTTGCAGAATGTTACTTTTTGCGCACTTGGAGCTTTTCTTTTCGTTACATCAGGATCACTGCTTATCAAAGATTATCAAAGCATAAGTTTCGAAAGCATTAAACAGATAGATTTAAAAGAACTATTTCAAAATTTGCGTAATCTAAATCTTGCAAGAGGGCCTCTATGTATTTTTGAAGCTGCCTTACTTCTTCTTGATGCTCTTTGCAGTTTTCTACCTTGTTAGTTAACATAATTTTATTGATTAATTGTATTTAAATTTTGTATAATATATATAATATATATCTAAATTTTTTTCTTATTTTTTATTATTAATAAAATTATTTCTCCTCCATTACGGAATGATTAAAAATAATAAAAAATAAAAATAATAAGTATCATTAACGATTTTTTCAAAGAAATGATAATATGATGACTAATTAAGATTATTAATAATTGAATAGTTATATATTGTCTAAGCCATACTACCCCGATCCAAATTGATGTTCAGACTAATTTAATTTTCATTAAATTTATTTGCACCATATTATTGTCGATACGAGCACTCATACCGTCTTGAGGTGAATATATCCAATAATTAGAAATTTAATTTATTTAATTAAGAATATGCAAAGATTTATTTTTATTTACTCAGTGAAACTTTATTTGGTTACTGAAAAATAAATATCTCGGAAAATGCTCAGACCAGGAATCGAACCTGGATCTTTTGGTGTCGCGCCAACTTTTTTTATTTTTTTTTTTTATATAAGTATTTTATTAAATATAATAATAAATGTACAATATTTACAATGTTGCACTTACGTTTTAACTTATTTCTATGTAGCTCCTGCTTAAACTTAAGCTTAATCTAACAGTGTGTATTATTCTAGGTTTTACTTATTTTCTAATAATGTTTAAAATATGGTTGCAGTATGATAGCAGTTAGCAGTGGTAATTGACTTACTTGCAGGAAAATGTGCAAAAACCTGCGTTTGAAATTTACAACTGCTCTATCTACCCTCAAGCTATCCGAGACACTGTCCGTACTTTATCATTCAGTTACCTATTAAGCCTAACTGAGTACTTTTTCTACTATGACAAATTTTTCAATGATGTATTTTTAGATGTTATTAAATACGATGACTTTTAAGCTTCTACTGTATTGTATGAAGATTGTAGTCCAAGTTTGGCCAGGATAAATAAATTAAATTTCTAATTATTGGATATATTCACCTCAAGACGGTATGAGTGCTCGTATCGACAATAATATGGTGCAAATAAATTTAATAAATAAAAATTTAATGAAAATTAAATTAGTCTGAACATCAATTTGGATCGGGGTAGTATGGCTTAGACAATATATAACTATTCAATTAGTGAAAACACCGATCTTCGGAAACAATAAATTATTAATAATATTATAAAAATAGACAAAAAATTATGCGTCATTGGGTCAAAAAATTTTGTGTTAAAAATTTTTATGTTAAATATTTAACACTTTTTTGTGTTGATTTAAAAGAATAAATCTTAAATTTACACATAAAAGTGTTAAATATTTTCTCCCCTCCGTGCGGAAAGCGTCAATTTTCTGCTCGCTGCGCTAAACGAAAATGCCGCTTTCCTCCTCCGTCGAGGAGAAAAATAATATTCTCACCACGGGCAGGAAATAAGAAAGCCTCAGATCACATGTTACAATTACATGTAATCTGAGACATTTCTTATTTTCCTGCCCCAGGTAAGAAAAATACTATAACACAAAAATTTTTAACAATGAGTTTTTTGTCGCAATGACGCAAAATTTTTTACTGTATACTAAAACTCTCGTATGGTTCGTTTTCGTCTTGATTTCTGATTGATAATTGATAACATCCAAAGAAATTGAATTTATTTATTTTAATATATTGATGAAGGTAATTAGAAATTATATTATTTTATCAAAGCAATACTTATCTGTTTGAAAGAAGACCGCTACAAATTAGAAAAAAAATTATTTATGAGTGACAGTTTGTTGATTGAAGCAAATCTGTGTCATTGAAACTATTTATAAAAATAAATGAAGTACAATTTTTTAACTATCTGTTATTAACCTCCATATAAACATAATACCAATCAAAATTTCATATTATTTAATTTATTACGACTCACCATGCCTTGCTGTCTTATTAACATCTGGAAGTCGGTAAGTTAAAATATAATTACATACTTTTAACTTTTTCTACTTATAAGTGATTTTACTTAAAAAAAATTTTTTTTGGTTGAATGAAAAATTCCTTTAATCAATACATAGAAGACATAAATTATTAATTCTCATTTATTTGTCTGATATATTGATTACATGTACTTCGGTTTTTTCAGATATTTCCATCGAAATCACCTTCAATTTCAATAATCAAAATTCTGCAATTCGTATGAAAAAAATCTTCACTTAATTTATATTTTAAGTATAAGAATATAGGTTGACTTTTTTTTATTAGAAAAAAATAATTTCAGATTGTTGTATGTTGTATTTTTGGCATTGATGTGCATACAAAGAATTATTCACAACCCGATGACAGCAGTGCTCTTTTGAATGAAGTCGTTGATAAAATACCCAATTTAAACATCAAAATAAATGCTGAATCAATGTCAACCGAGTACCTGTCAACTGGTACTGTTGTAGCATATTTAATCATTATATTCGTATCACTGGTAAGCGGTTTGCTTGCAGCACCTATTAGTCTAATTCCGGTACGTATAAAATTTACTATTTTTTATTATCAATTCAAGTTAATTCTTCAACCTTATAAATGTTAATTTAAAACATTACAATAATTTTTTTTCTAGAATACAGCTTTTTGTGTCATCGGAGCTTTTCTGTTCGTTATTTCTGGATCCTTTATTATTCATGAGTTCCTTCACATCAGTTTTGAAAGTATCAAAGAGGTTGATTTTGAAAAGTCATTACAATCTGTACGTAGTTACAGTATTGCAAGAGGATCATTATGCATTGTAGAAGCCGCTTTACTTTTACTTGATCCTATTTGCAGTTTTTTACCTTTTTTATGATTATTAATTATTATTGTTATCGACTGTTATTTCAATTGATAAATGTTAAGTATTTATAATTGTATGGAATTTTTTATTTTCTTCAATTAAAATTACAAAGTAATTGAAATTATTAATTATAATTTTTTATATTGCAAATTCAAATAAATAAATATCTATGTATGAAAGTACAAAAGTATATATTTATATGTAGTTCTCAAATCTACATCACATGTTTTATTGAATATTTTTATCATTAAAATAAATTGTTTATAAGTAATACAATTGAATTATTTAATACGATATTTTCTTACAATAGTATGATTATGAAAATTCAGAAATCTGTCTATCCTACAAACTAATTTGAAATTTTAGGGGTAGATTTTTAATTCTCTCATTAATATATTTGTCATATATATGATTTGAAGGTTTATAATAATATCGCACAATAAATAACTTTATCTATTGTGAATTAATATTAACTAAACCTTGGATGACAATTATTTATACGACAAATTATGAATTTGATTTGTTATTAATAGCTATTATTTGATTGAATAGATTTATTCACAATTATGTATATGGCTAATAGTTAATTCAATTAAATTAGCAACAGATATTTTTTTAGTTATATATTTTATCTTTTAAATAACTATTTACAAATAAATTATTCACAATATTAGTATTTTTTTTTCTTTTTTTCAATTTAGGGACATACTGATGGACTACTTTATTACCTTATTATCACAACGATAAGTTATGGATCTCACACACTTCTTGAGTTTACAAAATGCTTAGACACAGAAGAGATATATTACAATTATATTTATAATTATTACTTATTACAGATATCTACTTAACACAATAATATTATTTTCAGAATCAAAGACAGTTGAAACCAGAATTTTCGTTCCTGCTTGAACGAAGAAGTCTCTTAGTTCTTTAAGATACATTATATCACGACTATTTACACTCAATAAGTGAGTGCAATTATGATATAATTGAATCAAGTTACATACGCAATTTAAATTTATGTTCATTTAAGTATAAAGAAAGTGAAAAACTTAGTCGTAAAACAAGAATTTCATTGACCATACGACATTTACCAAAAACAAGTAAACTAAAGCTTAAATTTTAATTTTATATTGCACGCCTCATAAGCGAAGCGTTGAGGTTGTGCTCTACTCTCGACATTTCGAAAAAAGCAGTTTTGTCGAAACTGAAATTGATTTTTTGTTATTTTATTTATATTGCACTTACAGGTTAAAATGAGTACACTTATGTCAAGTCAAATAATTTTTCAGGCACATAATATATATTTTAATAACAATTTTTTTGTTTAACATAATAAATAATAACATTAAACATAATCTTTTTTGGACGTCCGTGTATGAATAAGTGTATGTGGCAGAGAAATTGGTCTAAAAAATGATCATACCGGAATAATTTTTTTTTAATTATCTAAAGTAACACACGACAAAATTTCTTAGTTAATATGAGCGTTCAATTCACTGTCGTTAAATTATTATTTATAAAAAACTAATGTATGACTGTGGATTTTTTTGTATTTCTATCTATACATTTTATTATAGTATTTTTTCTCCTCACCTTGGAGTTATGGTGCCACTAAACCATAACAGTGTTTTCTGTTTTTTATTATTTTGCTTTCTATATTTTATTTTAATCAATTTTATTTTAAAAAATGAGATTACGAGGCGTGCACTTTTGGATTTTCCAAACTTTATTATTTAATATAACGTTGAAAATATTTTTAATCAATGTTATTTTGATAAAACTTATTAATTAAATTAATAATTTTGTAGAGATTTCAATACTAGTAGGGTATTGACCGGTCTTTAATATATTTACATCAAATATAGTGTACTAATATTATTCTTGAAAAAATAAGTATAAAAAGTATTGATTCCAACACAATACTCATGATGATACTTGCATGGCTACATCATTATCTTCATAATTTTCTAGGCTAACATCCATTATTTCTTCATCAGACTCGTCTAACATCTCTTGTAATGAATGAATTGATGATATTAACACGTGGAATTGCTTCCTCCGCATCTCCAGTTTATGTTCCAGTTGTTCAGATTTTTCCTAGAGTAAAACAAAAATAATTATTTTTATTTTATTCATTCTCGAGTTTTTTAAAATTCTTGATACTATTCTAAAACTAATGGGTCGAAGTAAAAGTCATTAAATAATATATTTAAATTGTAAATTTAGAAAAATTTTCATTAACTATAAATCTATAAGTTCTCTCAAAGTGTATTTTTATCTTTCTAAAATAATTTTTTTGTTATTCGAATTCAAGAACATTCGACTCTTTTAAAGAATTGTTTTAACAAGTAAATGATTACCAAGAAAAAATAAAAAAAAAAATTCGCTTCAAAAATTTTTATAGGTAGAATTTTTTTAAGTTACTTCAGACTAATTTGTTTATTATTAAAAAAGTTCGAATCATTAGATGGCTTATAAATACGGTACCGATTATTTTTGACATAAGAAATATTCAAATATTAATAAAATAATATAAATAAAATAATTACCTTCAAAAATCCAAGTTCTTTATTCAAAGTCTCCAATTTCAAATTAGTTTCTTTTCTATCAGGTTGCTCGTTGATGACTTTGGCCAAGACATCATACTCGATCCGATTCTTACGTATTTGTTTGGCTTCTTGCAACTCAGCTTTTGTAGTTTCAATATCCTGTTTGGCCTGTTCTATTTCAGTTCCAATGTCATCGTACAATTTTTTATAATTTTTCAACTCATCCTGACTCATAGCCGACATGAAATGTGATTTTTTTTGAGCAAATTCACACTGTGCAAGACTAGCTAGAATACGTTCATGGAGCGTAGTGTCAACATCCGGATTATTAGCCCACTTTATAAATGATTTTAATAACATATTTATCCGTCTGTCATCACCAATACCGTCACCATCAACTAGTAGACGACGTCTTATCACTTCTTCGTCAGACATTTCAATTTATTTAAACTAGTTTTCCACTTACTCACAAGTGATGAGGAGCCGTTTATTGTAGGCTATGATTCTGTTTATATTTATTTGAGTTGATATATATATATATACGTGTATACAGATTTAAACACAGGTATATACGTAATAATTACGTCTGCTAAACTCAAGCGCTAACTAAAAATTTTGTACATAAACTCACGTGCTACATCAAGGTTTATGCGCATGTGCTAACTTAGGAACACAAGCCGCCATCTTTAAAGAAAAAACGTGGCAAAAATTAACTGTATTTTTCGGGTTTGACGCTACAAATCAAAAGCCGACGCAGATACCTTAATATTTAGAAATTCATGCTTACCACGATTTTTTTTCTTATTCAAAAAGACGTTAGTCATTTTATACATCAATAGATTTGTAGTAAACATCAAAAATCATTTAATATTAGGAACAAAAACTTTTAATTTGTTACCAATTTTGTTAACGCTTGGGTTTGCCACGTATTTTCTTTAAAGATGGCGGCTTATGTTCCTAAGTTAGCGCATGCGCATAAACCTTGAGTTAGCACGTGAGTTTAGTACAAAATCTTTAGTTAGCGCTTGACAGGGTTGCCAGATGCGGCGACTTATCGCCATTTAGGCTACTTTTAACAAGGCTCGGCGACTAAAATGTTATTGAAGGCGACTCGTCGCCAATAGGCGACTTTGGAAATTAAACAACAGAACGAAAATTTTTTTTTTATTATTTTTATAAAAATTAATCAAGACTATGAAGAATTTTATCACAGTTTTTATGTTTCATGAATACTACTTGAAATTTAGTCATGTTTTATGTTAATTTAAATATTTGTGGAATAATTTTAATAAGTTTTGTGATGATTTTCAATTGCAATACGTATAATTGCACACTTTTAGAATGAGAAAGATAATAATTTAATGCTGATGACTGAGTGTGATTACCTGAGTAATTTAAACACAATATTATGATGAAAATATATGTTAATTCATCTAAACTAATTTTATATTTCATGAATATTACTACATAAAATTTAGTCAATGTTTATGTTAATTTAAATATTTGGGGAATAATTCTACTAAGCTTGGTGACGATTTTCAGTTGCAATTCATTTGATAGCGCAGTTTAAAATAAGAAAGATAATTATTCAATGCCGATGACTGATTACCTTAGTGATTTAATCACAACATAACTATTGAAAGTAATAATATTAGAGTGTCCGTTATTTACCAATCTGGTTTTTGACTTTGCAGTGCTCATTAGATTTTCAGTTCGTGATCTAATAAAAAATATCAGACCCATATAAGCCCTTAATATTGATATTAAACCGTGCCACAATGATGATATATTTCCTATTTAAATAATTTTGGGTTTTGGCACGTTGTACAATCAATTTTTTTGTTTATATGCCAATCCATAAATGGCAATGGCAAACAAGTATTTTTTTAGAAAATTGAACGTTCTATACATAGAAACAAAAAAAATTAATTGTAAAACGTCCCAAAACCCCATGTTATTTAAATGAGAAATGTATCGTCTTTGTGGCACGGTTTAATATCAATATTAAGGGCTTATATAGGTCTGATATTTTTTAATAGGTCACAAACTAAAAATCTAATGGGCACTGCAAAGTCAAAAACCAAATTGGTAAATAACGGACACCCTAATATAACATATATGTTAATTTATCTAAACTAATTTTATGATGAAAATTTCACTTCATAAAATTTACTTGAATTTTGTATTCTCTTACTTATAATTTTGTTGAATGATAATAATTTTATAATTTTCAATAAACCAGATTTGAAAAAAAAAAAATTGTTATTTAATTTTTACAATTTGAATTGATCGCGGCGACTTTGGGCGACTTTAGCGCCACAGGTCGGCTACGCGCTGAAAAGAAAGTCTGGGTACCCTGATTATAATTCTGTATTCACCTATATCAACTCAAATAAATATAAACAGAATCATAACCTACAATAAACGGCTCCTCATCACTTGTGACTAAGTGCAAAATTAGTTTAAATAAATTAAAATGTCTGACGAAGAAGTGATAAGACGTCGTCTACTAGTTGATGGTGACGGTATTGGTGATGACAGACGGATAAATATGTTATTAAAATCATTTGTAAAGTGGGCTAATAATCCGGATGTTGATACTACGCTCCATAAACGTATTCTAGCTAGTCTTGCACAATGTGAATTTGCTCAAAAAAAATCACACTTCATGTCGTCTATGAGTCAGGATGAGTTGAAAAATTATAAAAAATTGTACGATGACATTGGAACTGAAATAGAACAGGCCAAACAGGATATTGAAACTACAAAAGCTGAGTTGCAAGAAGCCAAACAAATACGTAAGAATCGGATCGAGTATGATGTCCTGGCCAAAGTCATCAACGAGCAGCCTGATAGAAAGAAAACTAATTTAAAACTGGAGACTTTAAATCAAGAACTTGGATTTTTGAAGGTAATTATTTTAGTTATATTATCTTATTAATATTTAAATATTTCTTTTGTCAAAAATAATCGGTACCGTATTTATAAGCCATCTAATGATTCGAACTTTTTTAATAATAAACAAATTAGTCTGAAGTAACTTAAAAAAATTCTACCTATAAAAATTTTTGAAGCGAATTTTTTTTTTTATTTTTTCTTGGTAATCATTTACTTGTTAAAACAATTCTTTAAAAGAGTCGAATGTTCTTGAATTCGAATAACAAAAAAATTATTTTAGAAAGATAAAAATACACTTTGAGAGAACTTATAGATTTATAGTTAATGAAAATTTTTCTAAATTTACAATTTAAATATATTATTTAATGACTTTTACTTCGACCCATTAGTTTTAGAATAGTATAAAGAATTTAAAAAAACTCGAGAATGAATAAAATAAAGATAATTATTTTTGTTTTACTCTAGGAAAAATCTGAACAACTGGAACATAAACTGGAGATGCGGAGGAAGCAATTCCACGTGTTAATATCATCAATTCATTCATTACAAGAGATGTTAGACGAGTCTGATGAAGAAATAATGGATGTTAGCCTCGAAAATTATGAAGATAATGATGTAGCCATGCAAGTATCATCATGAGTATTGTGTTGGAATCAATTTTTATACTTATTTTTTTCAAGAATAATATTAGTACACTATATTTGATGTAAATATATTAAAGACCGGTCAATACCCTACTAGTATTGAAATCTCTACAAAATTATTAATTTAATTAATAAGTTTTATCAAAATAACATTGATTAAAAATATTTTCAACGTTATATTAAATAATATATAAAATTAAAATTTAAGCTTTAGTTTACTTGTTTTTGGCACATGACGTATGGTCAATGAAATTCTTGTTTTACGATTAAGTTTTTCACTTTCTTCATATTTGAATGAACATAAATCTAAATTGCGTATGTAACTTGATTCAATTATATCATAATTGCACTCACTTATTGAGTGTAAATAGTCGTGATATAATGTATCTTGAAGAACTAAGAGACTTCTTCGTTCAAGCAGGAACGAAAATTCTGGTTTCAATTGTCTTTGATTCTGAAAATAATATTATCGTGTTAAGTAGATATCTGTAATAAGTAATAACTATAAAAATAATTGTAATATACCTCTTCTGTGTCTAAGCGTTTTGTAAACTCAAGAAGTGTGTGAGATCCACAACTTATCGTTGTGACAATAGAGTGAAAAAGTGGTCCATCAGTATGTCCCTAAATTGAAAAAAAAAAAAAAAAAAATAATTAATATGTAAATAGTTAGTTAAGAAAAATCATTTTGTAAATAATTACCATTATCCCTTGACCACTTAAATATTCATTAATTAGAACGTGATTCGGCAGTTTATCATTGCTAAAAATGTTTAATGATGATATTCTGTCCATGTATTTTTTCAACCACTGTAAATAATAATAAAAAATAATTAATTATTTATTATACCTCTGAGTAAAATATAAAATATAAAACTAAAATAATATCTATTGATAATTTAATTGAATTAACTATTAGTCATATACGTAATTGTAAATAAATGTATTCAATTAAATAATAGACATTATCATTGTGTAGTTGAAAATATATCGTTGATAGTATTCAATCTTTCTTTTAAAAAATAATAATTGATTTGATAACAAACATCTCATTAATGATAATTATAATTAATAAATAATTATTTAATATAAAAAAGTAAATACTTTTGGTATTTCTTCAGCAATCATCCCCTTTTGATGTGGAATTCCACCCCAATTTTGTAATCTCCTATTACTCAATTGGGTCCATTTAGGCAATGGACATGAACTAACATGCTTCATTAATTCCTCTTCTTCATTATCAGTTATAAAATTCGGGACGTAGTATGCCGAAGGTGGTACCTGTTGTTAGAAATCCATAGATTAATTAATTTCATAATTCATTGAATATAAATCCCCATAATATTAAATACTTAACCTATAAAATAGTTAAAACTTTAAATAGTGATTTATTTTATATCATCTCAAAAAATATTGTACTTACATTTTTAATAAAATTTAACGATGTCAACATATTTGTCGAGTTAGTTTCCATATTTATTTATTTACTCATTTACATTTATTTTTATTATTGTTGATCTTAATCGCTGACGCGAGGTTAGTCATTTGTTTACACTAGAAAGTTTGACATAATTTAGCTAATAACAAAAAAAATAGTAAAACAATAAAAATAATTATCAAAAATACTTACATTTTATCAATAATTAGTTAAATTTAATGATCAAGCTAATTAATTAATAAAATAATTTAAAACGAAGAATGGAACATGTAAATTAAAAAAGCGATCGATAAACGCTGGTTATGCATGTAAATTTATGTATTTGTTTTGGTTTCATTCTATTGATTTTTATTTCTATAGTAAATGGAAATTTCGTCCAGGTAAAAGCCGTATTAATTTATCCTGAAATTTATTTATTGAAATAAAGCTCAATAGTTTATTTATTAATATTTCAAATAATAATTTTAATTGTTATGTTGACAGAAACAAGAATCTCAAGATGGATTCAAATAACGCGGTAAAAACATCCGGAGAATTTATAAAAAATCAAAAAGTCATGATTAATCGAAGTACTTCCAGTGGTTTTATACAATTAAATAAATCTTTAATAGACACCTCTGATGAGGCGAAATTAGAAAGCGAAAATAATAGTTGTGGTTTTAATGATAAAAATGAAAAGTTTGAGAGTAAATTTATACCATTACCGTTAAGTGTAAATGATCGAGATATACCCGACTTCTTAGGAGCTAATCGTCAAGAGTATAATATTATGAATAACAAACGGTTTATTGTATGTTCTAGGTAAGAGTTTTTTTTCTATATTTATTTAAACTGTAAAAAAATAACAGATAATTGCGACGTAAGTCCTGAATGTGTTGTTTTAATTTAATTAAATAAGATCCTGATAGTTTTTGATTTCTTGCTAATTTAACTCATATTAGTTAAATACAACTTTTTGAAATTGTTCAGGTCTTGTAATTAAATATTGTAGGGAGTAATCAGGTGAAAAGAAAATAAATAGTTAAAACGGATTACTTTGGTCTTTTCACCTGATTACTCCCTACAATGTTAAATACAACTGCGGCTGCCCAATTTCAAAACACAGTAACTAACATTTAAAATGTTTTTTCAATTTTTCTTATTAAAAAATAAGTTTGCCTGCCAAACTGATGAAAAATTTGATTTATTTTTATTTTATTTTTATTCAAAGAAACAAACCCAACAGCCTAAGCCATTAACAGGGTTACTAGATACATTAGTTATAAATTTTATATAATTAAAATAAAACAAGATGCCTTAACTAACTTGCTATACAATGCGTATTATTGAGCTAAGTTCCGCTGATTACAAAAACAGAAAAAAAATAATAAAAAAATAAACAATACTTTAGTGTTTTGCAGGCGATAACAACAAAGAACAAAAATAAAAAATTGTTTTTAGATCTAAGATCAAAACACTGCATTAAATATTTGATTTTTATCATAAAATAGTTCACAGAAATAATTAGGATTAGAGCTAGTATCATCATATTTTCTAAAGTTAAAGTTAAATTTATGCGAACTTGAATTCTCATCAGATACACTGTCCAGTTTTCTATTTAGATTAAAGCCAATAATATCCAGTCTGATCTCTCTACGTTACATATTTTATTTGACAAAACTAGATCTGAACAGTAATTTTGATAATTCATGACAAGATTATATTATTCAAATTTCAACAGATTATTAAAGTCATTTAAATGCGCAGATCGTGCGTCAAACAGTAGTTTAGCTTGATGTTTAAGAAACTTATTAATATTAAAATCACCCGCAATAACAATTTTACAGCCGACTTCACTCAAAAGTTTAGACAATGAATCTAAAAATTCACTGAACACTGAATACTGGGTATAGCGATGGATCAAACAGCTCATTTGAGTATATATGAGGTGTAAGCCAAATTTGTTTTGATATTAGATGGAAAAATTCGCCAGTAAAATACTATTATGAAGCGTTGTTGACTTTGTTCTGACTCAGAAACACTTTTATGAATAATAAATACTTTAATATAAATATTTTTAGCAAAAAATACTTGAAATTAAGGTCTTAAAGTTGTAAAAAATGCAGCAATACTAGAAAAAATTAGGTATAAAAATTTTGCAGTTACTGTGTTTTAAAATTGGGCAGCCGAACTAACAATCAATAAATAAGTATTTTTTCATGACACTGAAATTAGCAGACGTCTAAAAATTTTTGATTTTTTTTTTTAATTAAATTACAACTAAAAAGATATTTTTCAAAAATTGCACTTATAGTTTTTCAAGTTTTTTAGATGTGGAATTTTTTTTTAATTGTTTAATTGAAATTTTTTCAATAAAAAATTTCTAACAATTTTGAAATGTCGGCTAACTTCATATTCATATTTTTTCATTCAAAATCGATGAGACTATAAATGAAAATTATTAAAAGTACTTGATATTTAAATATATTATTCAATATCTTTCTTACATTTCTAGAAAAAAAAAAATAGTTTCAAATTCAAAATATCTTAAATCTATTTCTATTACAGCAGCTCCTGATTTTATAAACATTCTTCAATTTAAGATATGATAGTTCAATTTTATAAAATTAATTATTTATCATAATTTTATTTTTCTAACAATAATTTATTAAACATTCAAAGATTCAATGAGTTTTAAATCAGAGTTAAAAGTGGTCGTCAAAAGAATTTTTTATAAACAGAGCTAACTTAAATTAATTATAGTTATAAAATAAAGAGTATGTATACGAGATTATTTTTATATATAGATTATATTTAACTTATAAAAAGTCACATTAAAGGAAGCGTGATACTAAAAAACACGCAATTACTGAAGAATTATAAATAAGGATGTAAGATAATTTATAAAGTAATTTCACTAATCTGATTTATTTCGTGACACATTTTTTTTACTGCTGAATGGCATTTTTTAAATTTATTTATAAAATTTTTTATTAATGCGCCTAGAAATAATATGAGATATAAGGGTCTGAAACTTTCAGAGCTGACATGTTTTTTTACTATCTACTTAGTATTCTAATATTATGATTTACATATCTCCTGGGGGCGGATGCACCACATGTTTACTCTCTAGTTTTTTTTTTTTTTTTTTTTTTTTTTTAATTTAATAAAATGACAATATTAACTACATAATTTAAAAATTTCATTTTATATAATAACAATAATAATAATTAATTATTAATTTATGAAATATTTAAGAAGTACACAAACCGATAATGGCAATGAGATGCCTCCAGCAAATGTATTACTCACTAATGGATTTAATCATCCGGCTATAATAATAAACACATCAGCAACTCGTCGATTGAATACTCCAAATAGTACTGGCACTAATTATACCAACCAAGAGTTAATACTGACTAAATCTCAATTGTTTAATGTACATCGTAAATATCAAAAATTGAAAAAAAATTTTCATAAATTACACTCTGAGTACCAGAGAATACGTGATATTGCAAGTGTATTTACTGAAGCAATTGAGAAATCCATACACGGTGAGCCCGTTGATTTACGTGTAACACTTCAAACTTGTCGACAAATCTATCCAGATGTTTTTAATTACGATTCTTCTTACGAACAAGTAATTATTTACTATCAATTTTTTTTCACGTTAAATATAAATTAAATATTTTTATTTATGCAACTGTGCTATTTAAAAGTTAAATTTTTCGTGCTAACTGTTCAAAATGTTTTTTGGGATATTGACATATTTTTTTTCCATTAGAGCTAGCAACTAAAAAATAATCTTATAGTTACAAACAATTTATAAATGAAAAATTATAGCAAGGATTTTAAAGTCAACTTAATTAAAAAAGGAACTGATTATCTGAAACAATTTGACAATGAAATTAAAATTTTTCCATATTCTCAAGTTATATTACACTTAGCGAAAATTCTTAAAATTACTAAATAAACAGATGTAAAAATAGAAACCACAATTTTTTTTTATATTTTTATGCTTCATGAAAACTTATTTTATCTGTTAATAATAAAAAAATACAAAACCAAAATTTGAACAGAAAACACGAAGCTAAGTAGTTATAAAAATAAAATATATATAAGGATTAATCGGCTGCCCAATTTCAAAATACAGTAACTAACATTTAAAAATTTTTTTCAATTTTTCTTATTAAAAAAAAAGTTTGCCCGCCAAATTAATGACAAATTTGATTTATGAATTGAAACTACTCAAATATAAATATTTTTAAGAAAAAATACTTGAAATTAAGGTTTAAAAGTTATAAACAATGCAGCAATACTAAAAAAAAATCAGGTCTTAAAATTTTGCAGTTACTGTGTTTTAAAATTGGGCAGCCGTAATGATTAGTTATTGAAACTATTTTTTCGGTTTAGCTACAATCCGAGCAGGATGATGATTTTTCAATTGCAAGTAATAGAAAGTCTATGCTGAGTATGGTTCCGCTGTTATCAAAGTATCTAAATTATCATAAAATTAAATTACATCTCATTAGTGCAAGCGTTCAAAAAAAATTATTACTCCTACAAGCACTACGATGGGTAATTATTACAACTATTATTAGTATTAGTGAACAACATAGTTTTTGATTATTAATTCTATATCAGTCCTACCCAGTAAAAAATTTTTGTCATTGTGTAAAGTATAAAAATTTTAACGTCAAATATTTAAAATTTTAGTGTGTTGATTTAACAAAATCGTTCGATCGATCCGTTTTCAACACAAAAATGTTATTCGATACTTAAGTAACACTTTTTTAATGTTACATTTACATAAATCTGTGTTACTTTAAATTAAACATTGAGTTGTGTTACTTTATCGTTACACTCAGATTGCGTTGAATTAACACTAAGTTTGTGTAAAAAAAAAATTAATCACCACAAATTTTTGTGTTGAATTTGACGAAAAATTTTTTACTTTGTATGTACAGATGTTTTTACATCTCTATCATGCCGATCAATAAATATATATAATTATATTGTATGTCTTATCTATATCTGTATTTTTTCTGGTTAATAAATAATAATAATAATAATAATAATAATAATAAATAATTTAATTTTAAATATTAGAAAATAACATTGAGTCAACCTATTGAACGTGCTGAAACGATAAATGAGTATGTAAAAAATGATTTACTAGAATTATATCATAATTCACAAAGTTCAAATGATCTCAGTGGAAAATCTTCAATTTTACCGTATTTATTAATACCGTTGGATGTAGTTGAGCCACATCCTTTACAGCAGTCAGCAGCAAGATTATTAAATACCTTCGCTTCATTTAAATCTGGCCGGGATTATCTAGCGGTCGGTCCTGCCATTTTAAATGTGGTAATTAAATTTAAATTTCATTCATTCATTGGTTAAATAATATCTAAAAATAAAGGATCATTTTACAGTAATTGATGATTAACTTACGAAGTAAAGTTGAAATTTATTTTTATTTCTAATTTTTTTAACAAGATGTTGAATGATATCTGTAAAATCACCCTATTATACTAAGTAATAACTATTAGTTTAGACATTATGAATAATAATTAACTATAAATAAAAATTGTAACTGTTATAAAGGTAGTACAGTGCTTTGATAGCACAAGTGCTGAATCAATAGACGCTTTTACCTGTGACATGATAATCGCAACTCTACAAAAACTTTCTTTACGAAGAAATCAGAGATTATACATGATCGCAGCTGGTCTTGTAGAATGGTTGATTCATCATTTGAAAGCCGAGTGTCATACAATGGGCACGTACAGATTAGAATATGCAACAGCACTTTTAATGAATTTATCACTGCAGAAAGAGGCACAAGTGCGTGCTGCTGCGATGCCAACGATCCTTATATCTACATTAATCATTCTACTGTCATTAGAACACTTGCCTGTAATACTAATAATCCACTAACACGCCTACATTTTTTTTTTTTTTTTTTTTAATAAGCTATTTTAAAAATTATTTTTATAGGCTTTACCGTATGTCAATGGCGCTTTGAATAATTTTATTGCCAATAGTACTATTAATAAAGAAGCTAAGCTCATTGGATTAGGATCTATTTTGGAGTATCATCGAAGATATAGATCTGGTGAATTAAGGTTATTAAAAATCAATTTATTACTTTTATTAATGAATAAAATAAAAATTTAATGATATCTATATTCAGAAAAAAATGGGTTAAATTATCTTTAAAATGATTGTCATATGAAAAACTGCTTCAATTATGATTTTTCGAGTTCTTATAATAACAATAAATAATTAGTTTCTTGTTTGGTGTAAAAATTTTTACACGAAAAGTATCAAAATTATTTTAACACCGAATTTCATAATACAAAAATAATTTTTAAAAAGTTGAATCTTAAATTTTGAGTAAAATTTTAGTAGAATAACAATATTATAAAAATATTTTATTATAGAAAATTTAATTTTCGATCAATAAGGTAATTTTTTCGTATTTATATTGTTTAAAAACAATTTCAATTTTAAAATTATAGAAACATTATCGGACGGATCAATCATTAAATAATAAAATGATCTAGAAAACTTGAAAATTTTAATTTTGAGTTCAATATTGAAGAAAAAATAATAACCGTATTTATTTGTATTGTTATATTGTTTGTACATTTGTAATAATTTCATCATTTAGTTTAGTTATATTTTCACAGTAATCACCAATATGTTGTAGAAAGTAGAACACAAATAATGACAAATATTTATTTTTTTAATAACTTTAAGTGATAGAAAATAAAATTTTAATTATGATAATCGCTTACACTTGCGTGTGAAAGTAGTGTAGAAGTACTTTTTTTTTCTTTTGCAACAATTTTTCAAACGATTATTTAGAAAATATTTATTTTTTCTACTTACATATTCAAACGTACAAACTATAAAAAGTATTGATTTTTTTTGTAGAATTTTTTACATAAATCTTTTAAGATAAAAAAAGATCAAAATTTTGTTTGAAGAAAAATTCTTCTTAAATACTAATTAAATTTTCAATCTTATCAAATTACGTAATATTAACAAGTATTTTTTTCTCATCTTATCTATAAATTGACCGTGAGAGTAATTTCATAATAATTTTATAAATTTATCATTTATTATCTGTCATAATCAATCAATTTACTTTTGATATCACTTACAGTAATTTTTGAATTAAGTGAAGGACTGAAAAATAAACAAAATTTTCTGTTCGTACAAAAATAGTAACTTGCATACATTAATTATGTTCTCTTTTATAAGTTACATTAAACATTAGCTCATATTGAAAGACGTTAAATTTTCAGAAAACATATCGATCACATTCTATTGAGACATCGACGTCCCGACAATGAAACAATTGATGAAATAATAAATGAGGATGACGACCGTGAAGATTATGACAATCTGGATGATGAATTAGACGAAATGGACCCGGTTAAAGTTAATCCGGGTGATTTATTTGGTGAAACATTATTAGCTGCTAGCTACTCATTACCTCCGAACACGTTCTCGGATGATAAATTCCGCGAACCTGTCGAAATTACAGATAAATCAAAATCAGCAGATTTCAATTTACAGTCTGTTGAATCAAGTCAGTCTCCGAGGTAATTACTGATTCAATTACTTTTATCTAGATATAATTAATATATATATAATTTATTGTTTATTTATTTGATTTATTTATTTTTGTCAAGATTATCGTCTTTCAGTTACAAATTAATGGTTAACCCAGTAAAATTAACAGCAGTAGAAGAAAATAATATAAATAACGGAGAGTTAATTGATAGTAAAAAATTCAAAGTTAATTGTTCAATTTCTACGTCTGCTATTAACGTTGATACTTTATCAAGTCATGAAACAATAACAACAGAATTTAATTTGTCTTCATTAAGTGAAACAATTGATAGCAATGATAATGATAATGACAATGATGAATTTATAACTTTTAAATCTAATTTAATATCAGCATCGCTGCTAAATGTTTATGATGAGAGAGTCAATTCACAGTTTGATAGAACAAAGATAGATTCCTGATTATTTGTTTCTTTATGCAGTAGAATATTCAATTCTATAACTAATTCTGAAGAAATTAAAAAAATGGCGAATATTCATTATCTAGTCGTAATAAGTGCGTTTATTTTATTTTCATTATTTATTTGTAAATCGTTATTAAATATTACTCGTTAATAATAATAATAATAATAATAATAATAATAATAATAATTTTATTGCAGAAAAATAATGGATGAAACTTTAACAGCAACTGCAATTGAAGACACAGAAATCGGTAAGTAAGACAAAATAAAATGATTATATTTATTATTATTTTCTACAGTTATAGGTTATAGTATTATAGTTCTATAAGTTTTATATATGTATACGAGCGTTTATATGAGAAACTTATAAAATAAATATGAATTATATATTAAGTTTAATGTCTATGACTTTCTCTATAAAATGTGTTTATATCTGTAGTATTGATCTTGAAAGAAGAATAAAATATTTTGAACGCAAGTAAAAGAGGAATAATAAAATTTGGCAGTAATTTAGATTCACAAAATATAAAAATATAAAAATGAAGTTTAGAAATTTTTTGAACAATCATATATTTTTTCTCTTAAAGTTCTTTAAAAATAGAATAATTGAAAAAAAAAAAAAAAAAAAAAAAAAAAAAAAAAAATCAATGGTTTAATTAAAAAATCATTCTTGAATAAAATTTTAAAGAAAAAAATATTTGAAGAATTTTTAAAATTGTTTGTTTTTACACGCAAAGGAAGAAAAAGAAGTAAAATTATAAATTGATACAGGATGTTCGGTTAGCATCAAATTTTTGTTAACTTAAAAAGTTTTGAAATTGATCAAAAAATGTATTTTTGACAAACTTAATAATGAGCATCAGTAAACTTAATAAATTATTGGTAATAATAAAAATTACCAAAATTTTAATATATATAAATAATTAAATTTTAAACTTGTTTCAGTTCATGAAGATTTGAATACTTTTCCATTATTGTAAGTTTGATTGAACTTCGATTGAAAGTAACTATTGTTTGTCAAATAAAATTATCATTTAAAAAAAATTAAATTTATTTTTTTATTCATTTATTCTTGAGCATATACTTTTATTATCTATTTTTTACGATTAAATATTTTTATATTCGTGGCTTTATTTTAAAAATTTTTTTTAGTTAATTATAAACAATGAATTTTTAATCTAAAAAATAACTTTAAACATAAATTTCTTTTTAGTGTCAGCGAATTATCAAAAATCATAAATGAAATATCAACCAGTGAAGAAGAGGGAGCATTTACATCGAAACCAAAAATATTTCGAACACCGCCTCAAAGTGCCTCACCACTTTCAATAAAATCTAACTCTAATTATATACAAAAATAAACGACCCAACTAAATAGTATAATTATTATAAACAACTTTATTATAAATTGTAATTTATAACAGGAATTAAAACAACATCTACATTAATAATAATTTAAATATAATATCAAAATACAAACACAAAATCAAAACACGCATAAAAAAATAAATAAAAAATAATCAAACATAAATTTAAAAAATAAATAAATAAATAAAACATTAATAATAACAATGATTTATAACCAAAATCAATATCCAAAATAAGATCCAGTCGCAGAAGAAGCTGCCGCAGGAGCATGGTGATGTCCAACAGAACCTGAGTATCCTATCGACGAAGCGTGACCGGCATGACTTGGATAGTTCCCACTATTAAAATGATTCGTGGAACCCGCAGAGTACGGCCCCGCACTCCTCACCTTGTAACCACCAGCGCCAGCAAACATTCCTCCGGAAAATCCTCCTCCTGTCTCCGGATGCATCAAATGACTCGGTCCAGCACCACCGGCGTCTTTTATGATTACAAATTTGTTTCCGACTTTGGGACCAAACGAACCCGAGAAAAATGAAGACGGACTTTTGACAAATGTCGGGTTAACGCTTGAAGCAGCACCAAGTAAAAATGAGGGTATATTGCGATGAACCGGAGAAGAAGGTCCGCCACCATGGATGAAATTTCCCGGACCACTACCGTGATTGCTTAAGTAATTAACTGAAGATCCAGAGTAACGAGGTCCGTCGTTGAACCCGTGCGATCCCGGGTAATTTAAACCAGGTCCTCCATGGCTGCCGTGACTTGTCAGAGCAGCTGGGCTGGGCAATCCTGGTCCTCCATGCCTTCCACCGGAGTAAGCACCAATGTGTCCTTGGTACGAATTCAAATGATTCGATGCTGGGTAATTGGGATGCGGATTAGAAAGAAATTTCATCCCCGAACCGATTCCGTAGTGGCCGCTGTGACCGTGAGGGTGATTTTTGGGATTATAAGCAGAAACTTTCGGGCCAAAACCGCCCGCAGAGGATGATGATGATGATGATGATGGACCGTAAGAGTTGTAGTCAATCGAGTTGTGGTCAGCACCAATAGAATGACTAGCATAATTTGATAATGATTGAGATCCATGCCCGGCACTCCCGTAACTGCTGTCCGAGGACCCGGAGTATGGATTAACATCCGTGGATGTGTATATGTCATTGGAATTAGTATTAGTATTGGTATTTGTGTATGGACTGGAGATACTATTTATGTTATCGGTATTAGAGGACGAGTACCCAGTGGCAAGTCCCTGAGTGTTATCGTCACTTCCACCGGTAGAGAGACCGCCAGTCGATGTTGAATATCGATGAGATCCGGCTCCTCCGTAACTACCGCTACTCGTTAATTGATCCGTTAAGTCCGCGTGGGTGTCTTTTGATAACGATGATAGTGATGATGATCCTTGTGAGGATGATGATGGTGATGATGATGATCTTTGCGAGGATCCTGATGATGATAGACCGACGAACCCTCCCGATGTACTATAGCTTCCTGGATTGTAATCGCGGCTTCGTGTTCCCACTGTGTAACCAGCTATAATGGGAAGAAAAGAAGAAGAACAAAAATTAGAGAACGTTTAAGTAAAAATGAAGTTTGTTTTTTTTTTACATTTAATTAACTGATAATAGTTAATGTTAATATTACTTTTGATTTATTTTATAACGGTTACTATGCACTAGTTGGTAATGGAAATAAAATTCTCCGGCCTTGATGATTTAGAAGAGATTCTACTGAGCATGAAATAAAATCCACGGCCTTTCCAATTTGCAAGTGATATCTAGTAACTCGCGAGTAAGAGAAGTTATTCTGGGAGAAAGTCGTAAAAAGTCAGATGTAATTTCCACGTTTGTTTTTTTTTTTTTTCTTATCTTAATTTCTTTTTATTAGTTATATTGTTGTTGTTTTCTTTTCAACTTTATTATTTTTTGTATTTATTATAACATTTGGTTTTCTAATCCTTCGGCATGAAGCTAACTTTGCAAACCCGGTGATGCATGCCATCGAACATGTGTGTCATGCATAACGTTACATATTACAAAGAAAGTAGAACACTCATTTTTCTATCTAGTTGGTAGGAATCTTTTATCCTCAATATTCAAGTTCACCGTTTCTATGCTCATTATCTATTCACGATACTAATTAAATAATTTACCCACTTAACTTTTTTTTCTCCTTTTCAATATAAATTTATATTTTTTTTTTTTTTTTTCTATTAATAAGTTATTTTATTATAAATACTTACCACTAACAGTGAGGCAGTGAGAAGTCATTAAATATGACGAAACAATTAATAATATCTACAAAACAAAAAAATAAAAATAAATTTTAAAAAATAACATTTTTAATTAAAAGAAAAAATTAAGCAATTAAAATACTCACTCGCAACATTGTCACTGTTAAAAATTTTTACATAAATAAAAAAATTTATAAACAAATTTAAATAAAGGATAAAAATATTTCTTTTTTGTTTATAAATAATAAATAAAATTTATAGTCCCGTGGTGTAAAGGACGGGGTTCGTACACAAACTGGCTAGAGAACAGTTTCCCAGGTGATTTTATACTACAAGTAATCCCTTCTTATTTCACGAGAAGGTAAAAGCAATCTTCTTGTAATCAAGTACGCCAGGACATTGGCTACAATTTAACCATATACACGCTCAGTTTAATGTTATAGTGTAAAGTGCAATGTATTGGGGAGAAAAAGTTTGTTATGTTTATTTTCAAACATTGACCGGATTTTATCTGAGCTATTCTTACTTCCTATAATATGATAATAAAAATTATGCATTATAAACATTTATTAATCAGTTAAAACGTAATACAGTTAACCTTTTTTTCCAATAAAAAACCGTATTATTTTCATTTTAATTAATTTTTTTTTATTAAAATTATAATTAATATTTTTTATTGAAAATTTATAATACTGAAAACAGAAATTAATAATTTTTTTTTTTAATAAATAATTTATTGTAGACAAAATATTTGAAAATTTTCCACTCGTAATTATTTCAATTCTTTAAGCATTAATATTTTTAGTTTTTTTTTCTTTCGAATGATTTACCTTAAAAAAATTCCAAATTATCAATTTTTGGAAATTTTAGTATCAAAATTTTTTTTCGTCATGATTTTGCAATGTTAAAAATTGTTGGAAAGTAAATATAAAATTAATTTAATTTCTTCTTCAGATAATTGTTTAATTTAAACAATATAATTCTCTATCGTACTTATACCTACTGTTTGTTTATTTGATTAGTCAACTCCTGATGAGAAAATAGTACTTTCCTTTTTTTTTTTAAATGGATTAAAAGAATATTAAATAGGCTTTAATTTAAATGTGAGAGTAAAATATAGATGACTGTTTGTATTCCAATGTTTGAATTCGCAGTAAATAAATGTTTGTGAATACAAATGATCAAATTCACTATTTAAAATGAAAGTTTTAGTTTTTTTGTGAAGATAAATCTTTCTGATAAGATTGTTGTTAGAGATTCTCAGAACGCAATGTGACTACAGATAACTTCTACCTATATGAAAACCCTGAGCCAGTATTCATTAATTCTATCGACGTAGGCTCGATTTACCGGTACGGGTCAAATCTGTTAAAAAACATACTTTTTAACTTCCCGCTAAAAATCTCATATTTTCAAAAATCGGGAAGTTATTGTTTTCACCCCGTTTTACAAAAATCGAGTTTTCATCAGATCTCGACGTTTGAAGGTCACAGGAAGCTTCCCTGACTATTTTTACGATGATGTCCGTACGTCTGTATGTGTGTGTGTGTGTGTGTTATAGAGGAGGTAAAATACATTTACGTATGCCAGGGCTTGGTGTTGTTGTCCAAAAAAAGTGAAAAAAAAAGTTGTTTTTTTTTATTTTTTTCAAATATCTCCGAATTGGCTGAACCGATCGGTCTCAAAAACTAATCAGCTCTTAACCTTGAAAACCCCCATCGATCGCCACCAAAAACGTTAGAATCGGTTGATGCATTCGTGAGATATCGTTGTCGAAAAAAATCGAAAAAAGTGTTTTTTTGTAATAACTTCGAAATTCATGGCTCGATCGATTTAAACTTGAAAATTTTCCATGGAACTTCAAAAACTGCGTCGATTGCCGCCAACCGCGTGAAAATCGGTTCATTCATTCAAAAGTTATTGCCGTTTGAAAATTCAAAAAATTGTGTCTTTAAACTGCTATTAGAGTTTTGAGCTCGAAGAGCTCAAATTGACGCAAAAATAATATTTTTGAGCTCGAAGAGCTCAAAAATGTAATGTGTAGTTTGAAGCGTTTAAGTACAAATTGAGCGGGAAGTTGCAGGGATGGCCTTTAGGGTGAACCGTTTTTCTAATTTTTTTTTATTGTTACCTTTTACCTTTTCTTACTTTTCTTTCATTTTACGCTTATTATTATGAATATCATTATTATTATTTATATACCTTATTTCTTCGATGTAAGAATATACAAGATGTCTGCTTATAAAAAAAACATTTGATAACTTCTTTATTATAGTATGAACTCATAAAGTTATTCCATATATTATTAGTCTTAAATTTCAATTTTAATACCTATAATATATATATTATTTAAGATTTTTTTATTCCAAAATATTATAAGCCTCATAAATGATGAAATGTTTTAAAATTTCTCTGACGACTGATGCGCTTTATGATATTGTGCTCAGTTAAAATTCATAGAAGCGGCTTGACTTATTGGTCGTAAAAACAGCTGAAATTAATTTTGCTGCAAACGCAAAGCTTGTAAAAAGAAAGCTCAATTTATAGACTTAGTTTTGAGAAATTTTTAGTAGAACATTGAATTTTCGAGTAAAAGTTTCCCCGCTGTTTTTTTGTTAATAGTAATTAATAAAATTTTTTCGCTGTTACTTCAATAAGAATTCAAATCGAATTTTTACAAGCGCCAGTATTGTAATTAGATTGCAGCATTGCTGCTACTGGGGTCTTTTTTTTGTTTGGCAAAGTCTACATATTAGTATGTAAAAAATTGATCGGTTTATTTGGAACTTTCTTATGTTTAGTATAGTTTTGTGATGTTGGGATTCAATAAACGTACATTTAGTATCATGATGAGATAAGTATTCAAATATTTAAATGGATCTTATTTGACGAAATTAAATTAAAATGAAAAAAATTTAACAAAAACATTCCACATGTAGAAATTAAAAAAAATTATAAGTGCAAATTTTTTTAAATATTCTTTTTATAATAATCGATTGATTATAAAAATTCCAAGAATTGTTAGATGTTTGCTAATTTTAGTATTACAAATTTTTACTTTAAGGATTTTTATACTTAAATTTGGTATCATCTGAAAAGTCCTTAATCTGACTTTTTGCTTTTTCACGATTTTATATATTTTTATGGTAATACAGTCGAACCTCGTTATAAAACTACTTGTTATTTCATCTATGAACCAGGCATCGCGGTAGCTTGAGAAAGAAGCTAATAGTCTTATAACGAGGTGCTGTACTCAATTTTTTATGTTAATTAAAAGGAACTCAAGTTTACGGAGGGGTGTTGAATAGTTTGTTGGTTTTATAAGTTTGTTCTCCCTTCCCATTATCTATTAAATTATTAGTAATTGATCCTGTGATAGCAATATTATTTTTTTAATTTATTTCAAAAGTATCTAAATTATGTATAAGGTAAAAGACCCCATTAGTGGCACTTTTTCTTTTAATTAAAAAATGTTCTACTTGTAATAAAAATAAAAATTTTTTTTGATTTAAAGGTCTCAAAGATTAAAAAAAATATATTCATTATTGAAATTAATGATTTCATTAATAGAATAAGTACCAAAATCAAAGAAAATATCAGTCATAGGGTCCCCGCCACTAATGGGGTCTTTTACCCTATTATGATTAAGAATATCAAAAAAATCATTAAATCAAAAGGTGTTCTTTACGCTTAATTCGTAGTTTTAGACAATCACATAGTAACTGCAGGTCGTTAGTATTTTTTAATTAGGTTGAACTTCAAAATTTAATTTGATTAGAGACTAAAAGTAACTCACTCAGATGACGACATAACTAATTAATCAATAGCATTGATAATTATTAATGATTATTATCAGCGAATCTTAGGTGATACTATGTATTGTATAAGGTACCCGCGGGTAATAAGGCTAATAAGGCCTGATAGAAATGATATTTAAAATAACCGCTTCCGCTAAAGGCCCCTCTAGTAGAAGCGTCTAGCATAGAAATATTGCTACAAGTTTATCGAGTCCCGATACAACGTTCCCTGTCTTCTATATTTCATCATCCGTCATATGCTAAAGTAGCGCAGAAGAATTCCTAAAAAACGGTTTGAGTAAATGGTAAACATTTTTTATAATTTTATATTTAATAATTTAAAATCATTGTTCTAATTTTTATCAATATCTTAAAAAGTATTTTTGCTAAATTTAAGTGATGATTGATCTCTAATATAAATTTTATTAAGTATAGTATAACTATTTCCAGTATGTTTAACCCGAAGACCTCATTACCCTACCGTAGTAAAATAACGCCTATTCGCAAGGTTTTTGAAAAAATTTAATTTTGTGTTTGTTTATAGTGAAAATTACCATTACTCCATTATATTTTATGGCTAATGTATTAATATAAAAATGAATGATACATTTCAATAATTAAATGCAATATTTTCGATTTTTTTCAAAATCTTCCTTAGCTAGGCCTTATTACCCGCCGGTACGTTATTTGAAAATTCTGCCAATTTACATTTTAAATTCACGTATTTTTTATAAATTTTATAATGTAATTTTATTATAAATAAATAAATATGTATAAACATTTTTCGAAAACTTTTCTTCGGTAAAATCAACCTGAGAGTAAATATGAAAAGAGCGAGTTGAAGTTATAGTAATCATCACGCAGGCTTTAATAACTCGAGTTACCTTCTAAATAAAAAGTGGGAGTGAAAATGAATTAATGTATGGTATTTTAACAAATATATATATCCTTCCAAGAGAAGATGACAAGTGGAGCGCGTTAACATTCACCCAATGGAAAGAATCTGCTCTGTTTTTATTTTTATTATTAAAAAACTATAAAAAATTGTAATTTAATGCTTGAATTACTTCAATATTAAATTTTTTTGATATCCCATCGTCAAGAGAAGAGACAAATTTTAACTGCCATTAAAAAGAAGACAAAAAAAATATCAACTCACTAGATTAGTGGATAATTATCTTGCTCGTTTACATTAATTAGCTAGGATGTTCCTATAGGAACTGAGCTGGAAAAGAACTGGTCGAAAACCGCCATGCCACCGCCACTTTAATTAATTTATCGGTAAATATTTGGATACTCGGATATCGGAAATGGATTAAGTGATAAATAAAAATGATATTAAAATAAATAATAATTATTTTCAT